CCCCCAGCTCCGCTGCCACCTCGACCCCCAGCTCCGCTGCCACCTCGACCCCCAGCTCCGCTGCCACCCTGACCGCCAGCTCTGCTGTCACTGGGACCACCAGCTCCGCTGCCACCTCGACCCCCAGCTCCACTTCCAGAGCTACCAGCTCTGCTACAATCTCTCCACAATCTACAGTCATTACATCCAAGAATACTGGGCATCCTACCTCTTCTGGGTCTCCTGCAGTTACACCCACCCCCGCTGTCATCAGCTCTGCAAGTTCACCTAGCTCCAGCGCTTCTAGCGTCCCAGCCTCATCTGCTCCCACCCCGGGTATGTTTACTTCGTATTCTGTGTGTTCAGGTGGCCCCGAAGGGCTCCCAGCTGAGCTCAGGGCCCCCATGTGCCAGGTGCTGTACATCCAACCCAGCAATACCAACCCTGAAACCACCTACCAAAGTAGCACATAGATCTGCACGCCCGGGCTTCCACAAGTAGCACCCACCAGGTTGAATGCTCATGGGTCTGGGGGGAAGGGGTTTTGATGCACCAACGGGGTCATTGATGGAGGGGCACGGAAGGTGGGTGGTGCACTCTCTTCCTATGAGATGGCCCTACTTTGACGAAACTTGGTGAGTTTCTTACTCCGGGACACTTCCCAGGTAGCTGTGCCTAGATAGGGGCTGAGCAGCCGTCCTACACCGTTCACCTCCATGATCAAGCCTTGTTGGGAATGGGCGACAGGGGATGGATCACTTGAGGATTACCTGTTCTGTTCATTCCCTCTGAAGCATCTAGCACTGGCCACTGTCGGAAGACAGGATACTGGGCTAGATGGACCTTTGGTCTGACCCAGTCTGGCCGCGCTTATCTTCTTATAACTTGTGGCCATTTTTATCCACCAGGTTCCATCCCAACTAGCAGAGATACGACTTCTTCTGGCCCACCGAGGACTGGACCAGCCACCTCTCCCAGTCTACCAGAATCCACGACACCTTCAGGGTCTGGCGCTACCGCCTCATCTTTTGGGCCCGTTTCTGTCACCTCACAGACCACAGGTGAGGTTATTTGCTTGTTGAATAGCAGGACTGGTCAAAGGAATTCTGTTGAGCTGTTTTGGCTGATGGGCAACGGGGGGCTTTGACCCAATGAACGTTTTCACGGAAAAGGGCCACTTGCTGCGAAAATTGTTCAGATTTCATCAGCAAATTGCAAATCAAAGCTTTTCAGCTGAAAAACAAAAAGGTCCCAGGGTCTGTCTTACAATTTGGGCGTCACTTGCTTACATTTTTTTATCTGCGGGCGGTTTAGAGCTGAAATATTTCGCTTTTTTTTTTCTTCCAGTTTTGGACCGATTTTTGCTGTGTTTCATTTTCAGTTTAAAAATGTGCAGTTATTAGCCGACCTTTTTGTGGGGTTGGCTTAACATTTGAGGGGGTTTGGTCAAACAATTTCCCATGTTTAATTTTTCAGGTAACGCAATATTTTCAGTGGAAAGTTTTGATGATGATGATGATTTGGGGGGGGGCTGTTTCTTTTCATTGAAATGCTCCACGGAAAAAGAAACCCCTTTTCTGACCCCCTGTATTAAAGAGGGAAGGGGTTTGTGCCAGTGGATCAGGACTGGGATTCAGGTGCCCTGGGCTCCAGTCCTGGCTCTACTACCGACTCTCTGCCTCAGTTTCCCCCTGTAAAATAAGGATATGACACTGACCTCCTTTGTGGAGCTCTTTGCGATCTACTGATGAGAAAAGCTCTCTAAATTAGATTCCTATTGTTATTATTTCTTTGAATTACAGTACAACCTAGAGGCTTTTTTTGGTTAAAAACCTCCCATTTGTTGCACTAAATACACAAAAATAATATTTAAAATAAAACAGACAATTTTATCATACCCATTTCTGATGTGGGAAAAAAGCCCCCAGCTATTTCCCCACCAAAATAAAAATGTCAAGCCACTCTATGAGCCCCATTTCGCAAACGGGAAAACTGAGGCCTAGAAAGACAAGGAGACTTGCCCAATGTCACGCAGAAAGAGACCCCGGGCTGAGCCAGGAACTGAATCTCGAGTCCCAGACTGTTTTAGAGAGTAGAATCGTTCCCAGAAGCTGCATTCAGACGGGGTCTCATCTAATTGATGAGGCCAGCCTGATGCTCAGAGAACTAAAATGAATCATGCCCGATGAAGCTGGCAACCCGAGGAGGAAATGTAACAGGATTTGGGAGGCCAATCCACTCTGATCTCGCATGGCTCTTTGTCCCCCTCTAATGGTGACACTATGGCTCGATTTGTGAGTCTGCTAATGCCCCTGAACTAATGCGCTTGAACATTTTACGGCCAGAAAGGCCAGTGAGATCATGGATAACACAAGCCTTCTGCAGCAAACCACAACTTCCGTGGGGGCCGGAGCGCATTATGCAGGCGGCACTAGTGTCTCAAAGCGCTCTAAAATCCACCTGCCTGCTCAGCCGGTCTTGAAATTTGCTGGGCCTCATCAGGGCACCGGGTAGGACGCCTGGTTCAAATTTGCTCAAGGGGTCCCAGCGCCTGAGTTGTCTTGAAAGTTGCTGCGGCTTATCCAGGCGTGATCCTGTGGCTGAAGCACGAGGCTCTAATGCTTGGATAAGAGACGGCCGCACAGGTGACAGAACAGGCTCAGGGGGTTGGGTGGGCCCGTACACAGGTGGCTAACCCAAGCCACCATGGCCACGATGGTTTTAGCAAGCCAGCTCCCCTTTACTTGACCACCAGGGGGAGCTGTGCGCCCTCAACACCCCTTGACTGTAAAGATGGCCCATTATGCTTTCACTCTGGCCTGACCGTGCGCCCCCTCCCTCATCTCGTCCCCTGCAGCCTCTCCGGATAGCAGCGCCCTCCCCTACTGGGCCATCATCCTCATCTGCCTGGCCGCGCTGAGCCTGCTGAGCTTCTGCTCTCTGGTAAGGATCCCGGCGAGAGGGTGCCGGTCTGCAGGGCAGGGCGTAGATGGGGGCAGGCCACAGCGTGGCAGCCCAGTCCTCTCCACCTTGAGCTAAAAGGCGTGTGGCTGCGGTAGTAGGTTGTTATCCGCTATGCTGGGCAGCTGCAACAGGGCAATATGGCAACCACTTTGGGGGTGCATGGCAAAAGGTGATGTAAGAAATACCACCCTGCGTGTGGGTGGAACAGCCACCCACCTTCATACACTACAGGACTCCTGGGTTCTAGTCCCAGCTCTGGGAGAGGCGTGGGATCTAGGGGGGAGTCAGGACTCCTGGGTTCTATCCCCAGTGCTGGGACGGCCATACTGTTTAGAGCACGGGGGTTGGGGGTCAGGACTCCTGGGTTCTCGCCCCAGCTCTGGGAGGGAAGTGGTGTCTAGTGGTTAGAGCAGGGGGGCTGGAAGTCATGATTCCTGGGTTCTTGCCCCAGCTTTGGGAGGGAAGTGGTGTTTAGTGGTTAGAACACACATACACACACACATACACAAACACATATTCTCTGTATCTCTTTCCCCTGCCATTCACCCTCCATCTCTGTCTCCTGCAGCTGGCATTTTTCCTAAAGTCGAGGCTGGCTGGTGTCACCTCCTACTCCGTCCAGAAGGCTCATCAGTTCCTCCAGAACCGGACCTGATGCGATCACAGCTGAGGGAAGAATGGGCCATCCAGAACCTCCGACTACAGCCACCCATAAGGGGGCTGCTCCGATCCGGCACGCCTGGGCTAACCCAGAGCCACTATAGTCAGTATTGAGCCGAGAAAGCCAGTATTAATCCTTAGCTGCCAGATGAACATATGCTGCCTTCTGGGGGGCAGCGGTGGGATGGCGCTTTGGTCCCCTTCCGGGGGCAGGGAACACAGATCGGTGGAATCTGCACCGAGAACCCAGGCATCCTATGTTCTGTTACATCCATTAGGTGGAACCCAGAAGAAAGGAACAGAGAAAATAAAAAGGAGATGGATGACTATCGAATGGGCTGGATGGTGGTGGGGTTGTCCAGTGGTTAGTGCATAGGACTCCTGGCTTCTATCCCCAATTGTTGGAGTGAAGTGGGGTCTAGTAGGTTAAGCAGAGGGAGCTGGGAGCCAGGACACCTGGGTTCTATTCCTCTGACTGCACAGCATCCATTTAACAAATATTTTCTTTGCTGGTCTGCACTGCTGTATTTGGCTGCCTTAGACTGTGACTTCTTCATGGCAGGGCCTGTCTCTCTCTGTGTGTCTGGGCAGCGCCCAGCACAACGGGGCCCTGATCTAAGCTGGGGCAAGGACTGTCTCTCACTGTGTGTCTGGGCAGCGCCCGGCACAATGGGGCCCTGATCTCAGCTGGGGCAAGGACTGTCTCTCACTGTGTGTCTGGGCAGCGCCCGGCACAATGGGGCCCTGATCTCAGCTGGGGCAGGGACTGTCTCTCCCTGTGTGTCTGGGCAGTGCCCAGCACAACGGTGCCCTGATCTCAGCTGGGGCAGGGATTGTCTCTCACTGTGTGTCTGGGCAGCGCCCGGCACAACGGGGCCCTGATCTCAGCTGGGGCAGGGACTGTCTCTCCCTGTGTGTCTGAGCAGCGCCCGACACAACGGAGCCCTGATCTCAGCTGGAGCAGGGACTGTCTCGCTCTCTCTGTGTCTGGGCAGCGCCCAGCACAACGGGGCCCTGATCTCAGCTGGGGCAGGGACTGTCTCGCTCTCTCTGTGTCTGGGCAGCGCCCGGCACAATGGGGCCCTGATCCTGAGTAGGAACTGATACTCTGCCATTCTCTCCCTATCAGAATCACTGAGGCTTGAATCAATATACTGGAAGTTTTGTCCCTGGTGAAAATATGTACATTGGCCAGGGGCGACAGTTGTAAATTTTGTATCAAAGATTTTATTGTAAAATTGTGTATTTTACTCTTGTTTCAAGTTTGCACATTTGCACCGCATTGGGTTATTTAGCCATGCCTTTGTCTATACCTCATGTATTTATCTATGGATTGTTATTCTATATATTTATATATGTAATAAATATAAAATATTTCACCCGTGCTATTCCATTAAATTATATTATCTTCTTCCCAGTACGTCACATTATTACTGGCTCATACCAAGGGACGCCATCTAGGCTGGTATCTCCACCCCAACTCCATGCTCACCACGGTTCAGACCAACGGGCCCCCACCTAGTCTGTATCCCCACCCCAGCTCCATTTTCACCATGGTTCAGACCAATGGGCCCCCACCTAGTCTGGTATCCCCACCCAACTCCAAGCCCACCCTGGGTCAGACCAATGGACCCCCACCTAGACTGGTATCCCCACCCTGACTCCATGCTCACCATGGTTCAGACCAACGGGCCCATCTAACCCCCTCTCCCCGCACCCAACCCATGCTACACAATGGAAATAATCGTTAACATGGGCCTCCATGCGCTGCAATGCCACAGGTATCAGCCCTGCCCCTGTGCACACAGCCTGGCTCTTGGGCTAAGCAGGGAAATCAGACACTAGGATAGCAGGGCCTGCATCTCTGGGGAAAGCTAAAGCTGCCCCCACGGCCTGTTCCTGGATCCCAGGCTCTGCTGGGGGCAGAAGAAAGAGGGCTACAGGGGTCCCCACTTTTATCACGCTCGAGTCAGGCTCCAAAAAAATCACCATTTTTTTATTTTAAGGCTAATATACGTGGGAGGGGTGTTTTTTTCTGTGACTGTTGGGCTCTCAGCCCTGAGGGGTCATGTTTGCCACCTTTACTCCACAACAGTTGGGGCTAGAGGTTTACCTTGTTTCCAAAAAATGAGAATTGAGCACCTCATCTACTCCCGTGACTCCAGGAGCTGGGGCTTCAGGGTGGAGGGGAAGCCATGCACAAATCACAAGTGTTTTCAACACTGGAGCCCAGGTCGCCTGCTCTCTCTGGCACTGCGGAGCCCGGGCAATGGAGGGCAAAGAAAGAAACGGATGGGCCTATTGATCTGATTTGGGGCAGCAGGGACCAGGCAGGATACCGGGCTAGATGGGCCCATGGATCTGAAGCTGACATTTCTGGGCTTGGCCCAACACGGGGAGCGCTCGCGCCGGGTGGGACTGGCTGATAATCCCAGGGGAAATATGCAACCCGGCCGAATCGTGCAAGGGCCGCTCAGGGACCGGATCATCCGGTGCGTATAGTGCTGGGGACCCGGCCCATCCCCAGTGCTCCTGCAGGGCCCCTCTGGTGCACCCCTTAAGCCAGCCCATCTGGAAAGACAGGACAGTAGCCCCGAGGCACCTCCCCAGCCTGTCCCGCTCACCGATGGATTCTTCCTGCTGGCTCTGAGCCAGAGCCAGCCTGGTTCCTTATACACTAGGGTTACCATATTTCAACAATCAAAAAAGATGACAGGAGGAGCCCCACCTCCATCCTGCCCTAGCCCTGCCCCTTCCACTCCCTCCCACTTCCCGCCCCCCTCAGAACCCCCAACCCTCCCCACCAATCCTTGTCCCCTGACTGCCTCTTCCTGGGACCCTGCCCCTAACTTCCCCCCAGGACTCCACCCCCTACCTAAGTCTCCCTGCTCCTTGTCCCCTGACTGCCCCCTCCTGAGACCTTCCCCCCATCCTAACTGGCCCCCTAGGAACCTACCCCCTACCTGTCCCCTGACTGCTCCAACCCTTATCCACACCCACACCCCCAAACAGACACCAGGGACTCCCACGCCCCATCCAACCACTCCCCACCCCCTGACCAGCCCCCCCCCCAGAACTCCCGACCCATCTAAGCCCCTCTGCTCCCTGTCCCCTGACTGCCCCCTCCAGAACCTCCCTGCCCCTTCTCCTATCCCCTGGCCCCCTTACCGTGCCGCTCAGAACAGAGTGCTGCAGAGTGCCCCAGACCCAGGTCAATATACAAATCAGATCTTACCCACAAATCACGCTGTTGCCAATCCTTTAGAATCTAAAATCTAAAGGTTTATTCATAAGAGGAAAAAGATAGAGATGAGAGCTCGAATTGGTTAAATGGAATCAATTACATACAGTAATGGCACAGTTCTTGGTTCAGGCTTGTAGCAGAGATAGAATAAACTGCAGGT